ACACTTCCCAGCTGCTGTACATATATGAGGACTGAATATTCGGGGTATGGCTTCCTTTCCTCCACCCCACTCCCATCCCTCCTCTCAGAGCAAGGCCTCTACAATGAGTTCAAGGTCCAAAGTTGTACACTCTCCTCATCTCTGCCCTTTTAAGCTGCATGTACACTGCAGAAATAATCCAGGTTGACACCACTTTAACTGCCATGGCTCAATGCTATGGCATCCTGGGAATTGTAGTTTTTTGAGACACTTAGTTTTCTCTGTCAGAGAGCCCTGGTCCACAACAAACTACAAATCCTAGGATGCCATAGCATTGTGTTATGGCAATTAAAGTGGTGTCAACCTGGATTATTTCTGCAGTGCAAATGAAGCCTAAATCCTGAACCCACTGTGTGTGGAAGCTGAAAAACATTCCTATCCCTGTCATGGGATGGAGGCACCTTGCTGCTATGCTCATTTCCTACCCCCAAGGTAAGCTTCTGTAGTAACAAAATTCTTCGGGGTGCAGAAGGATAAAAGATCACCCATCACTTGGATGAAATTATCATTTTTGTGTGCTACAGTTGCTAGAATCCCTGCAGTCTCTTATGCTGGCTGGGGGATTCTGGGTGTTGTGATTATATAAAAGAGATTATCCCAAGTTTTCATCCTGAAACTATCAGGATGGGAGGGTGAGCTGGGTAAGTGACTCTGCAGAAGCCAAGCGCCACGTCTCATAGCTGCAGAGTCTCAGAATGCTACAGTGCCTTCCCTGAAGATCCCCTGCCCACTGGGTGAAGAATGAATGTGTTGTGATGGAGAGAAGGACAGAAGATTTGGGGGGGGGGGCTTATGATGGTGATACTTTCTCCATGAATTTCTGTTTACCCTGTGTGTATGCATGCATTTTCACTCGTCTGTTTTAAAGAAGCCTGTCTTGACTTTTCCAAAAAAAGGTATCATTACAATATACAGTAGTAATGAAGGATGAAAACAATAATAGTGCAGTAGATAGCATAGGCTAAAGGGAGTCTTAATGTAATACAGTATCTTCCCTAGGCTAAGTGTGTTCACCAGATTCAACAACATATTGCTTCATTGTTTGGTCTTGTGTGTCTCCTTTTCTTGGGCTGTTTTAAGACTGTGAGTACCTTGGTGCAGGAATCTTACTCTGCAAGGCACCCTACAAACCAGGAGCACTGCATGCAAGGATAAAGAAATAAGCATACAGTGCTGTTAGTCATACTTACTGCAACAAATGCATCCCACTGCCTTTAATGAGGTTTACTGCCTGGTATAACCTTCCCAAACTTGGTGCCTTTTTTACTACACCTCCCATTAGCCCCAGCCATAACAGACAGGGTTTATAATCCAAATGTCTAGAGGGCTTCAAATTGGGAAAATGATCAAAACATACACAGATATGTTTCAGTTACATCAAAAGTGGTAAAAAAAAAAGCCCAAAACATCAGAGATTTAAAAATATGTTTTAAATGCCTTGGAATTTTTTTTTTTTTAAAAAAAGGTTCTCTTCCAGCACTAGCATGCAATAGTGTAGGTTTCAGGCAAGTCTCTCTGGGGAGAATATTCCACAACCATATTGCCACCACCAAGAGGACTCATGTTCTGAATTCTCCCACTGTATCTATCTAACCTCAGCCCCGTGACCTTGTTGATCTAGATTCCAACCATCCCTTGGGCAGCAGTGTGTCTAATTTCTGTGTGCTTTTTTCCTTGAGCAGGTGCAAAACATCTCCCAGTCCATGGAGGTGCTGGATCTTCGGACCTATCGGGATTTGCAATATGTCCGTAATACTGAGTCATTGATGAAGGGACTGGACTCCAGGCTGAAAGTAGCCACAGAAAGCCAGAAAAATCTGAATGCCAAAAGTTTCCAGGTAACTTTTTTCTTACCCAATTACTTCCTTTATCACAGATCCACTATTTCTGGGGTAATATGTCTTTTGGGTGGTGGTGGTGGTGGTGAGCTTACCTAATGATGATGAGTATCTTTTTTATAGTAGCTGTATAGCAGTTGGAATATCATGTAGTACTATAATATATAGTACAAAGCTTAGACAATACTAAATGTAAGATATTGTATTGTGTTATTTTGCTATGTTATTGCAAACATAGGGATTGTAGGGGCAGCCATGTTGGCCAAAAATCCCCAAAACAAACAACAAATATATACAATCTCAAATCCATCCCATGGCAATACCTTGACTAGGTCATCCCAAAAGCAGAAAATCTTTCATGCTAGATTGTGAAGCTTCACAGCCTTGTTCATCACACAGAGTTAGTAAAATAGCATGCAGGAGAAATAGTATGGTGTTTTGCTCCATTCTATTACAAGAAGTGTGTCTAACAGTGAGCTTCCCTGCATGACCATAAACTGAGAAGGAACAAAGGCAATACAGTGGCAATAATGTTTGGCTTCTCCATTTCTAGTTCCAAAGCAAAACCACCCACCCTATGTAGTTGTTGTGATGGTGTGCCTTCAAGCCACTTGACTTATGGCAACCCTAAGGTGTGGTTTTCCTGGCAAGATTTGTTCAGAGGGGGGTTGCCTTTGGCTTCCTCTGAGGCAGAGCAAATGTGACTTGCCCAAGGTCACCCAGTGTGTTTCCATGGCTCAGTAGGGATTTGAACCCTGGTCTCCAGAGTTGTAGTTCAACACCCAAACCACCACATGCATCTGAGGAAGTAGGCTCAAGTCTATGAAAGCTCATGCTACCAGCTTCTTTATTTCAGCTAGTCTCAAAAGTGGTGCATGATCCCTTTACATACTGATTTTCCAGACTAACATGGCTATGTCTTTGAATTCTGGTTCTCCTGTAGTTATCATGTTCTCTTGTTCTCATGTTCTCTTATGAAGTTACTATATGACTACTTTACAATTACAATCTTATATAACAATTATAATATCATTGATGGTGATGTTTGGAAGTTAGCTGGGAATGAGAAAAGACTAGATGCTGTTTGTCACAGTGCCTGCTTAAGGGAAAGGGATGGCAGTGGGTGAAAAGCACATATTCTTAGTCAAGAGTTGCAAAATGGAATAGAATAGAGACAGGTGAGACTTCTAGGCAAGATATTTGGAGTAGTGTTGGGCTCTCCATGGAAAAAAAAATCCTCTGGATTGCAACATGGGAGAATGTAGAGCTTGGAAAGGTTCCTTTTTGGACTATACTTCCCAGTCTCTTAGGATGCATCTACACTGCAGAATTAATCAAAATCAAATCAAATCAAATCATTTTATTACAGCCGTTTGGCCAGTATAAACTGCAGAATTAATGTAGTTTGATACTGCCTTAATTGCAGTGGCTCATGCTATGGAATTATGGGATTTATAGTTTGGGGACATATGTATCCTTTTCTGTCAGTGAGCCCTAGTAGCACAACAAACTACAAATCCCAGGATTCCATATGTAGCCATGACAGTTAATGTGGTGTCAAACTTCATTAATTCTACAGTGTGACAGCAGCCTTAGTCAACGTGGTCAGTGGCTATGCTGTCTGGGGAGTTCTGGGACATATAGTCCAAATAAATATGTTTTCTAAGCTCTGGTATATGCTGGGGTTTGGTTCCAGGACTCCCCATGGATACCAAAATTCATGGATGCTTGAGTCCCATTATATACATTGGGGTAATAAAACAGTGTCACTTTCATAAAACTGCAAACCAGGTCCATTTTTTGGACTTATTTTGGGGAGGGGAGGATATTTTCAAGCCATGGATGGATGAACCCATGGATAAACAAATCCATGCATACAGAGGGCCAACTGTATTATGAATTGCAAGTTGTAGTTAGACCAGTTTTCTGAGTCCTTAAGAATTTCTTCTGGTTCTGGTCATAGGAGGTTTTAGGAGGAACTTAGAATTGCTGTTTGTTTGTTTTTCAAAAGCCCTTGGAGATGTGTGGAGATGGCTTTCAGTGTTGCTTGGACATATCCCTGTAATAGTGTTTATTACACTAGTCAGTTGTTGTTTCAGATCATTCCATTTGAAAGCTACTCTTGTAGTCAGAAAGATAGTCGAATGGCAATGCACTCTTTCGCTCCATCACTATGTACAGAATGTATGCTTTTTTAGTTGAAATGTAATAATAGAATTTATTTTACACCATCCTGTTTGCTGTGCTCCACAATTAGGTTATTTAAAACAACAACAAAAGCAAAATAAAGGGAAGCTGTAATTGAGCAATTATGTAATGATGCTATTATGGAAACATCCCCATTCCCCACCTGGATCAATAATATGAACCCACACCATGCCACTGCCACTATGTTTTCTACACTTTCCTCCTCACAAACAACACTTCTTCAATTTTGTTTTTGTTATATTAGTCTTTAGAATTAATACAAATAAATACTTTTATTTACTCATCAAACTTGTCCTGAACCCTAGGTTTTCTCAGGGCATTAATTCTTAATAGGATTAGATTTGAATCTCACTACTGTGTTACTTCCCTTTTTTTATATATTTTTAGATTAAAATAGTGTAAAAAAACATGCCAGAGATCAGAGAATGTACAGAGTTTCTCTTGAGAACTCTTGGGAATCCTGGTGTCCTCACAGCCCAACCACCAGAAATAGTCTGTGATTTCCCTACTGGAGATCCTGGGAAGGAGCAATGAAACCTCACACTTGCTGTACGGTATTCCCAATATCACAACACAGTATCACAACCAAGCAGAATGAGATAGCCATACCAAAAGTGGACTAAACCATAACAGGATAGAGGATTATAACAGGTTATTTCAGGTGGGGAAAAGATTCGATTTGCAAATAAAAGAAATAACACTGGTGCAGCCAGGACAGCACTGGGAGAGCACCAGTCAAAGACTGGATTTGTTGTGTTGTTGTTGAGTACCTTCAAGTTGTTTCCCACTTATGGTGATGCTAAGATGAACCTATCATGGGGTTTTCTTAGTAAGTTTCTTCAGTGTGAGTTTGCCATTGCCATCCTCTGAGGCTGAGAGCATGTGACTTGCCCAGGGTCACCTAGTGGGTTTCCATGGCAGAGCAGGGATTCAAACCCTGCTCTTCAAAGTTATAGCCCAATGCTCAAACCACTATGCCCCCTTGGCTCTCAGATGGGACTAATGCAGTGCAGTTGCAGTATAACAGTGTTGAGTGATAAGCTTCTAATGGTGGGCTTTGTGATTGGAGTATTTTGTTTTTTTTAATGAATGCTTTGCTAAATATGTATCCTGCCCTGGATCCTTTATTGTGGGGAAGGTAGGACAGAAATGGATGGAAATGGATGAAAAAAATAATTCTTCAGCCAATAGCTTTGATTCTTCTTCCTCCTTCAGTTAGACTGAGCCAGATGAAAAAGCATCATGTGAAGTATTTCCCACCCCACACAAGCAACCATTGCACAGGGGGAGATGCTGCTGGGGAGGACTAAGGTATTGAGTGGGGAAAAAGAGGTAGGGGAAGAGTTAAGGATACACATTGCACATACACCCTTCACTTCTTCACTCAGCCTGTGACCTAAAGCTGCTTTTATCTGTATGTAGCATGTAATTTACTCTTGAATTCCAGCATGAAGAGGAATTATGTAGCTGTCCAAAGCAGGAGCTTCACCTTGCCGCTTCGTTTTTCTCCCTTGTAAGGCTTTGCACGCTAAAGCAGGCCCCTGTTTTCCATGCTCACAAGCTCCATAAAAGGAAGCATAATGAGGATCAAACCAAACACCTCCCTAGTCCATCATTCTGTCCACCATGGCCACCCAGAAGTTTCTAGGATGGCCACAAGTAGCACATGACAACACAGTAGTTGAAAAAGTTCCTTTAAGCAATAAATTACAAGAATCACCCAACCTGCATAGCCAGGGGATTCTGAGATGTATAGCTCAGAAAAAAAGTAATTTCCCAAGTTCTTTGAAGGCAAAGAACACCCTTCTGCTTGTGTGACCCAGCAAATGAGATTGGCAGGAATCCAAGGATGTATCTTACACTGCAGAAATAAAGCAGTTCAAAAACACTTTAACTGCCATGGCTACATCCTATGGAATCCTGGAATTTGTAGTTTGGTGAGGTACTCAGCCTGGTCTGTCAGAGAGCTATGGTGTCTTACCAAACTATACATCCCAGGATTCTACAGGATACAGTCATGATATTAAGCTGGTATCAAATTCCTATATTTCTGCAGTATGGCTATAGCTCGAGATGTAATATATCTTGGGAATATCATGACAGTTCATTGGCTAATGTGTGCTGATGTCATATTGCATGTGCATAGTTTCCTAGATCATACCAGAAAAGAAGAAAACACAGAGATGTAGAGATGATTCTTTTGATGGCTACCACACTATAAAACTTCTAAGACATGTAGTGTCATGTAAGCCTGGTTCCTGTTGAAAATAAGCAACAATTTGTGAAGATTGGTGTGATTTCCTTCAGGACAAGTTGTATAGGGAAGGACATATTTTCTCTGCAGCTTGAAACTTTGGGTTCAGGTCATAACAACAACAACAACAACAACAACAACGGTAATACTGTTATTTCCTTTAGTCTGATTGAATTTATTTTTGGGATGGAGGAACTGACAAAGAAGGAATCTCCCCTTTAACTTAGACATGAGTTCTCCTTGATCACATCCATCTTGGTACTCAAGTGGTTACCTGGAGAGAGAGAAATCATTCTGAATACTGATCAAATTGAAAAGAGGAATGAATTACTAATCAAACTATGCAATCGATACCAGTTAGGGCTGTCATTGTATGAGTTTGAGGTGATTGATTAATCAATTGCATCTGCATAAAATTGCTAGATTTGCATGCGGTGACATTTATCACCAAGAAAGAAGAAAAATCAGCCTGTAGGAAGAATGTCAATTGTGAGATCTATTTGAGAATGAAGCTTGCTGATAAGAAGTGGAGGTTAGTTTCACTAAGGATGATTTGGATAGTATTTACTGAATGGCAAATGAAGATAATTTCCTCCCTCTGATTATTGACTGATTTGAAAATGATAGTATTGATCACTTACCAATAAGTGTTTGTTGCCTGTGCCTTCTTACCATGTATT